AAGTAGGGAAAGGGTGGCGGGGTTGGAAAGTAATAAAGGGGAATATATATATATATATTTTTTAAGGATATGTATGTGTATGTATGTATGTATGTGTGTATGTATGTGTGTGTGTATATGTGTATATATGTGTATATATATATTTATATATGTATATGTATATGTATGTGTATGTGTATGTATATGTGTATTTACAGTGGGGGAAAAAGTATTTAGTCAGCCACCAATTGTGCAAGTTCTCCCACTTAAAAAGATGAGAGAGGCCTGTAATTTTCATCATAGGTACACGTCAACTATGACAGACAAATTGAGAAAAAACAATCCAGAAAATCACATTGTAGGATTTTTAATTAATTTATTTGCAAATTATGGTGGAAAATAAGTATTTGGTCACCTACAAACAAGCAAGATTTCTGGCTCTCACAGACCTGTAACTTCTTCTTTAAGAGGCTCCTCTGTCCTCCACTCGTTACCTGTATTAATGGCACCTGTTTGAACTTGTTATCAGTATAAAAGACACCTGTCCACAACCTCAAACAGTCACACTCCAAACTCCACTATGGCCAAGACCAAAGAGCTGTCAAAGGACACCAGAAACAAAATTGTAGACCTGCACCAGGCTGGGAAGACTGAATCTGCAATAGGTAAGCAGCTTGGTTTGAAGAAATCAACTATGGGAGCAATTATTAGGAAATGGAAGACATACAAGACCACTGATAATCTCCCTCGATAAGGGGCTCCACGCAAGATCTCACCCCGTGGGGTCAAAATGATCACAAGAACGGTGAGCAAAAATCCCAGAACCACACGAGGGGACCTAGTGAATGACCTGCAGAGAGCTGGGACCAAAGTAACAAAGCCTACCATCAGTAACACACTACGCCGCCAGGGACTCAAATCCTGCATTGCCAGACGTGTCCCCCTGCTTAAGCCAGAACATTTCCAGGCCCGTCTGAAGTTTGCTAGAGTGCATTTGGATGATCCAGAAGAGGATTGGGAGAATGTCATATGGTCAGATGAAACCAAAACGTTTTGGTAAAAACTCAACTCGTCGTGTTTGGAGGACAAAGAATGCTGAGTTGCATCCAAAGAACACCATACCTACTGTGAAGCATGGGGGTGGAAACATCATGCTTTGGGGCTGTTTTTCTGCAAAGGGACCAGGACCACTGATCCGTGTAAAGGAAAGAATGAATGGGGCCATGTATCGTGAGATTTTGAGTGAAAACCTCCTTCCATCAGCAAGGGCATTGAAGATGAAACGTGGCTGGGTCTTTCAGCATGACAATGATCCCAAACACACCGCCTGGGCAACGAAAGTGGCTTCGTAAGAAGCATTTCAAGGTCCTGGAGTGGCCTAGCCAGTCTCCAGATCTCAACCCCATAGAAAATCAGTTGAAAGTCAGAGTTGAAAGTCTGTGTTGCCCAGCGACAGCCCCAAAACATCACTGCTCTAGAGGAGATCTGCATGGAGGAATGGGCCAAAATACCAGCAACAGTGTGTGAAAACCTTGTGAAGACTTACAGAAAACGTTTGACCTGTGTCATTGCCAACAAAGGGTATATAACAAAGTATTGAGAAACTTTTGTTATTGACCAAATACTTATTTTCCACCATAATTTGCAAATAAATTCATAAAAAATCCTACAATGTGATTTTCTGGATTTTTTTTCTCTCATTTTGTCTGTCATAGTTGACGTGTACCTATGATGAAAATTACAGGCCTCTCTCATCTTTTTAAGTGGGAGAACTTGCACAATTGGTGGCTGACTAAATACTTTTCCCCCCACTGTATTCCACCCACACGAGTTGCTGGCTCCAGGAGGTGGGGTTGGCGGAGACGAGGCAACGAAGAGTCGTCTCCAGGTCCTGATTGGCTCCCTCCGACTGGCCGTTAGATTGGGGGTGAAAACAGAGGACAGGCTGGCCGATGCCCCAATGAGGGTGTAGAACGCCTTCCAGAACCAGAACGAAAACAGAGGACCGCGATCGGAGACCACCGGAAGTCCATGGATCCGGAAGAAGTGCTGCACCATGAGCTGGGCCATTTCCTTGGCTGAGGGTGACTTGGGAAAGGGAATGAAGTGGGCGGCTTTGGAAAACCTATTCACCAACGTGAGGATAGTGGTTTTGCCATCTGATGGAGGGAGACCCTTGACGAAGTCCACGGATATATGGGACCAGGTGCGGTGAGGAATGGGAAGAGGTTGAAGGAGGCCAGCCGGAGCTTGCCTTAGAATTTTATTCTGAGTACACACAGTGCAGGCGGTGATGAACATGGAGACGTCATGAACCAAGGTGGGCCACCAAAAAAGTAGTCGTACAAAGGTCAGGGTCCAACTGGAGCCTGGATGGCTGGCCAGTCGGGAGGAATGAGCCCATTCCAGAAATGGGTAACAGGCAGAGTCCGGGTCAAACATCTGGGTAACCGGGCCCCCTCCCCGGGGTCCGGCTGGGAACACTGTGCCTCACGGACCTGGTTCTCTATACCCCAGACGAATGCAGCCGCGAGACAAGAGTTAGGGTAGGGCGGTCTCAGGATCCGTTGGTGTAGCAGAGGGGCTATAGAGGCGTGAAAGCTCATCCGGCTTCACATTCTTGGATCCCGGGCTGAAGGAGATGGTGAAGTTGAACCGAGTGAATAGCAGGGCCTGTCGAGATTGCCTGGAGTTGAGGCGCTTGGCGGTGTGGAGATATTCCAGGTTCTTGTGATCCATCCACACTATGAAAGGGTGTTCCTTCCTCTCTAACCAGTGCCTCCACTCCTCTAATGCCATCTTAACCGTGAAGAGTTCTCGGTTACCCGCGTTGTAATTCCTTTCAGTGGTGTTGAGATGATGGGAGAGGAAAGTGCAGGGATGCAACATTTGGTCTTGGGCCGAACGCTGGGACAGGACAGACCCCAATCTGATGTCCAAGGCGTCGACCTCCAACACGAACTGCCGGGACTGATCCGGATGGATTAGGATGGGGGCGGTTGTGAATCGGTGCTTGAGGTCCAAGAACGCCTGGTCTGCAGCTGGAGACCACGTGAACGGGACCTTGGGAGAGGTGAGTGCTGAAAAACATGGAGGACATGTTCTTGAGCCAAGCGGGAAAAAACAAGAATGTCATTGAGGTAGACGAACACGAACTGGTTCAACATGTCACAGAAAACATTGTTAACCAGGGCCTGGAACACTGCAGGAGCGTTGGTCAGTCCGAATGGCATAACAAGGTATTCGTAGTGCCTGCTAGCCGTGTTAAAGGATGTCTTCCACTCGTCCCCTTCCCGTATCCTTACCAGATGGTAGGCGTTCAGGAGGTCCAACTTGGAGAAGATGGTAGCCCCCTGGAGAGACTCAAAAGCCGAGGCGATGAGGTGAAGTGGGTAACGTTTTTTAACCGTGATGTCATTCAGGCCCCGGTAGTCGATACGCAGGCGCAAGGTTTTGTCCTTCTTCTCCACAAAGAAGAACCCTGTGCCGGCGGGGGAGGCAGAATGACGGATACACCCTGCAGCCAGGGAGTCCCCAGTGTACTCATACCTCCTGATGAGCCGGGTCTTTTTACAGGACAGGTAGAAATATAATGACAGCCCTATGTGTTCAGTCTGTGTAACCATTCGGCAGGAGACAATCTAGCTCTGCCAAGTTGCATAGGCGAGTCGGCAAACCCTCTGTGATTTCTGAGAGAACTCGGGTGACATCGGATTCACTCGGAAGTGTAGACTTTGGGGATTTCCGGGATTCCTTGGAGGCAAGGTGGAAATTGAGGACGTGCGAGGGCAACCGGAACAGAAGATGAGGGAGTACTGGGAGAGAAAAGCCTGGCAGGTTCCAGAATCTCCAGCATAGCGCTCCGGAGGTAAGCATGGTTCTCGGGACACCCTGGTAGGCTGGGAAGAAATGCCGCTGGTGGCGGGGTTGCTGAGAGTCTGGGGGATTAAAGTAGTGGCTGCTGCCTAATAAACAATATGCTGACTTTCTCCGGCAATGTATGGCAAGCACAGCCGTGGCTTTCAGCCAAGGTCTGGAATCCTTCCATAAGGTTGTGAAGTAACTCCTCGTGTCTTGCAATGGTGGCTCAGTGGGAGGAGACGGCGTCGCAGAGCTTGTCCGAGTCTGCTGGGTCAGCCAGTTTGTACAATCAGGAATCAGGATAAGACCCATATGCAAACAGTTCAAATCATAGATGTTTATTACAAAACAGTGGGCAGGCAAACGACAGGTCAAGGGCAGGCAGAGGTCAGTATTCCAGGGCAGAGTCAATAAGGTAGAGAACGGCAGGCAGGCTCAGGGTCAGGTCAGGCAGAGGTTTGTAAACCAGGTCAGAGTCAGATAGGTCCGGGACAGCAGGCATGCTCGGAGTCAGGACAGGTAGAATAGGTCAGAACCGGGAGAACTAGAAAACAGGGACTAGAGAGAATAGAAGTACGGGAAAAACACGCTGGTAGGCTTGACGTAACAAGACAAACTGGCAACAGACAAACAGAAAACACAGGTAGAAATGCACAGGGGATACTGGGGAAAATGGGCTACACCTGGAGGGGGATGGAGACAAGCACAAGACAGGTGAAACAGATCAGGGTGTGTTGTGGAAAATAACCACTATACTTTATTACAAATAAGGTCTTACAGAGTTTTTGTTGCATCAAGAAATTACTTTATTAAAGTTTTCAACAAAGACGATACCAGTCTGCAGAGGGGCACACATCCTTAAGGTCTCCCTCCATCTTATATAGTCCTCTTCAGTTTTCCCGCTCTTTTATTCCTCCGCCCACTTCCTTTGTCCCTGAGGACGGCTGAACTATTACTCCAACCAATCACCCGCTCCCCTGTCTTGCACACACACTCATGTTTAGTTTAAACATGACAAGGCCCTAAATTACACAAACCTCACCCCCTCATGCTGTAATCAATCAAGAAGATACCAAGGAGACAAAGGTCTAGCCCAAACTCTATTCAACCCTGTTGCTGCTCCCTTCACTGTGTTTGAAGAGAGAGACAAAAACAAACGGCCAAATTCAGTTAGCCACAAAGAATGTTAACTATATGTTCATGATTAACTCAATTTTATCTGATAATCCATTAAAAATACACATCAGGTGTGACAAATGTCCATTGTGCAATATAGACAGTATAGTACATTTTATTATCGCAGTACAGTATTTATTATACATAGTAGCTACTATACTATACTATCTATACTTTTGATCATGATTAGTTACAGGCATAGGACAATTAAATAGGTGTTAGAAATAAGATGATGATGTAAAAAACAAGTGACAAGGGTAAAAGGTGGATGGAAAATAACTAATAACATATATGTGGTAACAATGAAAACAAACACAGCAGACTGTCTTCAGTAGTTTATGGACACAAAAGGATAGAGGGGTCTTTCTGGCGTGGGTTAAGAGGTATGACAGAAGCATATTGGAGGCAGATAGATGTTGTGACACAGGAGAGGGGAGTGGGCTGTCCTTCCAGGATAAGGACTCCACCAAGGTCACTCAGTCAGTCACTGCTGTGCTGCTGCTGCCCTCTGCTGGAGAGAACGTGTAACATTCAGTCACAATCACTGTGGTGACATTTCCAATAGAGAGTGATCTAAAATCATCTTCCCCTCCCCCAATCCTAACCTTAACCTTTAGTGGGATTAAAAAAAAAAAATCTGACCGAAGATCAGCATCTAGGGGCAACTTCACCCTAAACCCAGGCACACTCCACACTGTAATGTTATGGATACACACTGAAAACAATGTGGTTACCTGGACACAACGTGATTAGACAGTTTTGCATGCAGCAAAACTAAAAAGACTAAGAAAGATTTGTGTGATTAAAGAGTGACGTTTACAACACATAGCAATGTGGTGTTGTCTGTATCTTTGTTGAGAAATCAGCATCATCTGGTACAACAGACAGAGGAGACACCAACACTGACCTGTGTGGTCACCTGTAGAGCTAGTGAGCTGTAGACCACATTATCATCTGGTTCTGCTGCCTACAGAGGAGGAACAGGTAGAGAGGTGAACAGGGACAGTTCTGTTATAATGGAGAGTACAGTTTAAAACACAGTTCTCTGTGAAAGACAGTTGTAATTGTGATATGTGACATAAAGGTGATATATTAGGACTATAGGTATAATGGTGACATAACCATGACTATATTAACACTAAGGAAACAATCACCTACTGTTGTTTCTGATAACATTATACTAGCTGTGGCTAATCAACAGAGCAGCTTTACCTTGGCCTGTACTTTTAGTTGGGCCTTGTGCTGGGGGATGACAGTGCTGTATGTGACATCATCATCATCTTCAGGAAATGGGGCGTGCTGGAAGAGAGAGACCCAGATAACAAAAACGTATTGTTGTATTGTTATAGTGTACATTTATCTATTGCTTGTTCCAAGAAAGAAAATGAAACTGTAAATACAATTGTTTTCTAAAACAGATGCAAATTTGCCAAGGCTATGACGTTTTATGAGTAACATCCATAATGTTGTCTAAGACCAACGATGCATGTAGCCATATGTTGACCTTCTGTTCTGTCCTGAACTGATCAGGCATCACAGTGCTGTACATCACGTCATGGTGGCTCTCTGGCTTTGGACCCTGAGAAATGGACAGGACAGAAGGTAAACATATGGCGACATGCATAGGAATACAGAGTATAGGAACTTCAGATACTCAGCTCAACACTGCAGGGATTGAAAATCACAGTCTACTTGAATCACAGTCTACTTGAATCACAGTCTACTTGAACAGAGCAATACTCAATCATGAGGCATCAAAGCCAAAGGAACTGAATAATATTAAGAAATGCTATAGATGGAAGGAAAGTAGTGTTGAAACCTACCAAAAAACAATTAGGCAACAACAAATTCAATCCATTCTAGACAACTTCCTGGACAAAACGTTCCACTGTAATAGTGTAAACTTGGCAGTAGAAAACCTAAACAGTATATTTGACCTCTCAGCAGCCCTATCAAATCTAAGAATCTCTAACAGAAAACCAAAGAAAAGTAACAACAGTGATAAATGGTTTGATGAAGAATGCAAAAACATAAGAAAGAAATTGAGAAACCTATCCAACCAAAAACATAGAGACCCAGAAAACCTGAGCCTACGCCTTCACTATGGTAAATCACTAAAACAATACAGAAATACACTACGGAAAAATAAGGAACAGCATGTCAGAAATCAGCTCAATGTAATTGAAGAATCCATAGACTCTAACCACTTCTGGGAAAATTGGAAAACACTAAACAAACAACAACACGAAGAGCTATCTATCCAAAACAGAGATGTGTGGGTAAACCACTTCTCCAATCTTTTTGGCCCTATAACAGAGAACAAACAGCAAAAAAATATACATTATCAAATGCAAATCTTAGAATCAACTATTAAAGAATACCAGAACCCACTGGATTCTCCAATTACATTGAATGAACTACAGGACAAAATACAAACCCTCCAACCCAAAAAGGCCTGAGGTGTTGATGGTATCCTCAATGAAATGATAAAATATACAGACCACAAATTTCAATTAGCTATACTTAAACTCTTTAACATCATCCTTAGTTCTGGCATCTTCCCCAATATTTGGAACCAAGGACTGAACACCCCAATCCACAAAAGTGGAGACAAATTTGACCCCAATAACTACCGTGGGATATGCGTCAACAGCATCCTTGGGAAAATCCTCTGCATTATCATTAACAGCAGACTAGTTCATTTCCTCAGTGAAAACAATGTACTGAGCAAATGTCAAATTGGCTTTTTACCAAATTACCGTACGACAGACCACGTATTCACCCTGCACACCCTAATTGACAAACAAACAAACCAAAACAAAGGCAAAGTCTTCTCATGCTTTGTTGATTTCAAAAAAACTTTTGACTCAATTTGGCATGAGGGTCTGCTATACAAATTGATGGAAAGTGGGGTTGGGGGAAAAACATACGACATTATAAAATCCATGTACACAAACAACAAGTGTGCGGTTAAAATTGGCAAAAAACACACACATTTCTTTCCACAGGGCTGTGGGGTGAGACAGGGATACAGTTTAACCCCCACCCTCTTCAACATATATATCAACGAATTGGCGAGGGCACTAGAACAGTCTGCAGCACCCAGCCTCACCCTACTAGAATCTGAAGTAAAATGTCTACTGTTTGCTGATGATCTGGTGCTTCTGTCGCCAACCAAGGAGGGCCTACAGCAGCACCTAGATCTTCTGCACAGATTCTGTCAAACCTGGGCCCAGACAGTAAATCTCAGTAAGACAAAAATAATGGTGTTCCAAAAAAGGTCCAGTTGCCAGGACCACAAATACAAATTCCATCTAGACACCGTTGCCCTAGAGCACACAAAAAACTATACATACAGTGGGGAAAAAAAGTATTTAGTCAGCCACCAATTGTGCAAGTTCTCCCACTTAGAAAGATGAGAGAGGCCTGTAATTTTCATCATAGGTACACGTCAACTATGACAGACAAAATGAGAATTTTTTTCCAGAAAATCACATTGTAGGATTTTTAATGAATTTATTTGCAAATTATGGTGGAAAATAAGTATTTGGTCAATAACAAAAGTTTCTCAATACTTTGTTATATAACCTTTGTTGGCAATGACACAGGTCAAACGTTTTCTGTAAGTCTTCACAAGGTTTTCACACACTGGTATTTTGGCCCATTCCTCCATGCAGATCTCCTCTAGAGCAGTGATGTTTTGGGGCTGTCGCTGGGCAACACGGACTTTCAACTCCCTCCAAAGATTTTCTATGGGGTTGAGATCTGGAGACTGACTAGGCCACTCCAGGACCTTGAAATGCTTCTTATGAAGCCACTCCTTCGTTGCCCGGGCAGTGTGTTTGGGATCATTGTCATGCTGAAAGACCCAGCCACGTTTTATCTTCAATGCCCTTGCTGATGGAAGGAGGTTTTCACTCAAAATCTCACGATACATGGCCCCATTCATTCTTTCCTTTACACGGATCAGTCGTCCTGGTCCCTTTGCAGAAAAACAGCCCCAAAGCATGATGTTTCCAACCCCATGCTTCACAGTAGGTATGGTGTTCTTTGGATGCAACTCAGCATTCTTTGTCCTCCAAACACGACGAGTTGAGTTTTTACCAAAAAGTTCTATTTTGGTTTCATCTGACCATATGACATTCTCCCAATCCTCTTCTGGATCATCCAAATGCACTCTAGCAAACTTCAGACGGGCCTGGACATGTACTGGATTAAGCAGGGGGACACGTCTTGCACTGCAGGATTTGAGTCCCTGGCGGCGTAGTGTGTTACTGATGGTAGGCTTTGTTACTTTGGTCCCAGCTCTCTGCAGGTCATTCACTAGGTCCCCCTGTGTGGTTTTGGGATTTTTGCTCACCGTTCTTGTGATCATTTTGACCCCACGGGGTGAGATCTTGCGTGGAGCCCCAGATCGAGGGAGATAATCAGTGGTCTTGTATGTCTTCCATTTCCTAATAATTGCTCCCACAGTTGATTTCTTCAAACCAAGCTGCTTACCTATTGCAGATTCAGTCTTCCCAGCCTGGTGCAGGTCTACAATTTTGTTTCTGGTGTCCTTTGACAGCTCTTTGGTCTTGGCCATAGTGGAGTTTTGAGTGTGACTGTTTGAGGTTGTGGACAGTGTCTTTTATACTGATAACAAGTTCAAACAGGTGCCATTAATACAGGTAACGAGTGGAGGACAGAGGAGCCTCTTAAAGAAGAAGTTACAGGTCTGTGAGAGCCAGAAATCTTGCTTGTTTGTAGGTGACCAAATACTTATTTTCCACCATAATTTGCAAATAAATTCATTAAAAATCCTACTATGTGATTTTCTGGAGAAAAAAAATCTCATTTTGTCTGTCATAGTTGACGTGTACCTATGATGAAAATTACAGGCCTCTCTCATCTTTCTAAGTGGGAGAACTTGCACAATTGGTGGCTGACTAAATACTTTTTTTCCCCACTGTACCTCGGCCTAAACATCAGCGCCACAGGTAACTTCCACAAAGCTGTGAACGATCTGAGAGACAAGGCAAGAAGGGCCTTCTATACCATCAAAAGGAACATACAATTTGACATACCAATTAGGATCTGGCTAAAAATACTTGAATCAGTTATAGAACCCATTGCCTTTTATGGTTGTGAGGTCTGGGGTCCGCTCACCAACCAAGAATTCACAAAATGGGACAGACACCAAATTGAGACTCTGCATGCAGAATTCTGCAAAAACATCCTCTGTGTACAACGTAAAACACCAAATAATGCATACAGAGCAGAATTAGTCCAATACCCGCTAATTATCAAAATCCAGAAAAGAGCCGTTAAATTCTATAACCACTTAAAAGCAAGCGATTCCCAAAACTTCCTTAACAAAGCCATCACCTACAGAGAGATGAACTTGGAGAAGAGTCCCCTAAGTAAGCTGGCCCTGGGGCTCTGTTCACAAACACAAACAGACCCCACAGAGCCCCAAGACAACAACAACAACAACAACAACAACACAATTAGACCCAACCAAATCATGAGAAAACAAAAAGAGAATTACTTGACACATTGGAAAGAACAAACAAAAAAACAGAGCAAACTAGAATGCTATTTGGCCCTAAACAGAGAGTACACAGTGGCAGAATACCTGACCACTGTGACTGACCCAAACTTAAGGAAAGCTTTGACTATGTACAGACTCAGTGAGCATAGCCTTGCTATTGAGAAAGGCCACCATAGGCAGACCTGGCTCTCAAGAGAAGACAGGCTATGTGCACACTGCCCACAAAATGAGGTGGAAACTGAGCTGCACTTCCAAACCTCCTGCCAAATGTATGACCATATTAGAGACACATATTTCCCTCAGATTACAGCGATCCACAAAGAATTCGAAAACAAACCCAATTTTGATAAACTCCCTTATCTACTGGGTGAAAAACCACAGTGTGCCATCACAGCTGCAAGATTTGTGACCTGTTGCCACAAGAAAAGGGCAACCAGTGAAGAACAAACACCATTGTAAATACAACCCATATTTATGTTTATTTATTTTCCCATTTGTACTTTAACTATTTGCACATTGTTACAACACTGTATATATACATAATATGACATTTGAAATGTCTTTATTCTTTTGAAACTTCTGAGTGTAATTTCACTTTTGTTTACTATCTACTTCACTTGCTTTGGCAATATTAACATACGTTTCCCATGCCAATAAAGCCCTTAAATTGAAAAATTGAATTGAATTGAATTGAGAGAGAGCGAGAGAGAGAGAGAGAGAGAGAGAGAGAGAGAGAGAGAGAGAGAGAGAGAGAGAGAGAGAGAGAGAGAGAGAGAGAGAGAGAGAGAGAGAGAGAGAGAGAGAGAGAACCCAAGCTCACATTGCAGAAATGGAGGAGAGAGAAAGAGAGAGAGAACCTTAGCTCCATGCAGAGATGGAGTGATTGGTACTAGTCCAAGATCTCCACAGACCTAAACCAGGTTTATTCAGTTTGTACCTGCTGTGCTGTTTCTCTGGTGTGGCTCACTGTGCTGTATATAATGTCCTTCTCAGGGTCAGCAGACTGCAAAGAAATAAATAGCAAAGAGAAACAGGACTTGTCTATTTACCAACTAAACCACAGTCACATATATATTTAGTGAACTGACAGCTTCCTGTTCTCTGTCTTTTAAACATCATTTTTCAACGTCTTGAGTGTTATAAGACCTTGGGTTCAGAATATGGGACCTTTTATGTCAACTCATTGATAACCAACTGAAGAGGTAATACTAGAGTCAAATGGTAGATGATCTGAACTCAAGAACAGAAAAGCAGATGGTTGAAAATAATAGAATATAATAAATTAAGTGTATCCTACCACTGAGTTGTTAGTTGTCTGGTCCTTGGCCTTATTGTCCTCTGGAATAAAGAGAGGGAGATGTCAATTACTTCTGAGTTTTTATAGTACAATAATACCTCTGAATGGATTTCTTATATACAATTCCTCTAAATACTTTCTGTCATTCAAGATAAATCACAAGCAAGCAATATAATGTTGTTCACAATGACAATACGTTTTGTATTTTTCTAAACTATTCTCGTTTTTATATTCACATAAAATGACTACTTACTATGCTTTGTCCACATCTTCCATGTGACTAGGATACCAGCTGTCACCACCACCAACATGCCCCAAGGAATCAGTAGGACTTTCACATCTATGGACCTGATGGATTACATAGAAGAACTTGAATCAAAAACACAATTAAAATAGATCATTATAAATTGATCATTTGTGAAAAAGTAATAACTTGTTGTATGAACTTTTGTGATAAATGGAACAATTATTTAGATATTCACATGTGTGAAAGAAGACCATGCAATTGAAGAGATGAAATGATTATTATTGAGATTATTACTATACAAATAACGTTTTTTTTGTGTGCAACTTGCCCTTGCAAACGAGTGAGAATAACACAAAAATTGCTGCTACTTCTCCAAAGAGATGTTCTACCCAAGAGGAAGTGCTAACAGTCTCTATATGCATTTAGGGAGGGTGTTTGGTTATCTTCAGCTGTTGTAGTGTATGATGGAATTGTAATGTTTCTTTGTGTTCATATTATCAAACAATTGCCATAATTTGTGGGATAATACAGCTGAATGAGTGATAATAACCTCTGGTGGACGTCCTCCATGTTCCCCTCAGCTCCTTGACTTGTGTTGTCAATCTGAACAGGCTCAGCAGTTGGAGAGGCAGAGGGTTGTTGATTGGTTGGAGCTTGGTTTGCTGTGAGATAAAATAACAATGCCATCAATGAAATTACTGGTATACCAGATAGTCAGGTTGTATAGCAACATCACATTCATAGTTAATATTAAAATGAATTCCAGATGATGCCACTGGATAAAACAAAGTGAATCATGTTTGATCATAAAGTATGTGATTGATCTACTCACTTGACGTCATTGTAGTGGTTCTCTGTGTTGCAGTTTGTTGACTGACAGTGATGTGAACAGGCAACTCTAGTTCTCCCACTCTACACCAATACCAGTCAGTGTTCTCCATCTTCAGTCCACTCATAGTCACTGTTAAGACTTTTCTGTTGTTGGCCAGACTGATATCCTTTAATGTCACTGATGTTCCATGTAAAGTCCCAGAATACGACACACAATCACCACCCATCCTGCACCACTTTATATATCCAGAGTTACTATAGTAACATCGGACAGTGACACTCCCTCCTTCTACTCCAGTCACCTCCTGTTGGTCCACATAGAGTTCTGGAGTACCTGAAAACAGAGGTAAAAAACAAGAATTCAGAGAAGAAAAAGGTGTTTTTACAACAGGCTCCTTACAAATTCCTTAAAGCTGCAGTCAGTGATTGGTACATCAATTTTTGGTCTTTTGAATTCATAATAATTATATATAGCCATTGATTCTTGAATAATTTAAGTTGCCTCACGAGTTTAGTTCAACTGTTACCCCATCATGACCCCAAATATAATATTGTTTTACTCAGTGGTTTGTAAACAATGTAATTGTAAACATGGTCAGTTATTGCACCTACGTATACAGCATAGCTCTGTCTAAGAATTTCAGACTGGTTACACATTTATCATTTCATTTGTTGTAAAACGATATTTATAATTGGGTCATTAGTTGTATTGCATTGCAGTTTACAGGACAATCCATAGGACATTGCTGAGCAACTATTCATTCTACTTTACTAGATACAAGCAGTGAAGGGATCTTACCTGGAGTGACAGATAGGTAGAACCATTGTATCCTGATATCTGTTCCTCCATTGATCTCCACAACACACCTGTAATTCTCAGAGTCCTGTGACTTCAGGTTAGTCATGGTCATAGTGAAGATTCTCTTGTTGATGTCATCAGAGATTAAGGCATTACTACTTGCTCTTAGGATGGTCAGTGCGTACCACATAAGAACACAGTTCCCAACCTAATCCTTTACACCAGTATTTCAACATGGTTGATGTGATTCAGATCATAGTGACATGGGATGGTGATGGAGCCTCCTGTCTGCACAGACACATACCTCACTGTGGACACATCAACACAAAACACATTTAAATTAGAATTAACATTTAACAGAATCTGTACAAAGGAAAAATACAAAATGAATCACATTGCTCCAACACACAGCTCGTTCATGATTGAGATTGATTACACCGTGTTTACAGTGAATTGACCCACTGGACTTCAGCCCTTTATAGAAACATGTTACACATACCTGCTGATACTCTGTAGGGGATGAGGAAGAGGAGGAGGAGGAGGAGGGAGAGATGAAGAGCCATGTGAAGGTTTCAGTCTGCCTGGTATATTATATGGTACCTGAGCACAAATGTTTGTCAAGGACCAAGGTACCAGCCATAATGACTCTACTTCCTAATGTTAATAGACTTCACTGTCTGTAACTCTCTTCCTGCTTCTGTTTGTGTGTACATGGCCCCCTCAGTGGCAGATAGCAACTATTGCAGTGTATAGACTAGTTTAACCCCAAAATCATAGTCACTAAAATATATTTCAGCTTTCTCTAAGGGTTTTGGGACCAAAAGTCACTACTATCCTGTTACCCTCTACTGAAAAATAGACTGCTAATGATTACAAATATTCGATAATTGGGCGACATACACCACATTGGCAAATTCAATATTTCAGTATATAAGAAACGATATGATAAATGTTCTCAATGTGCTAGACATTGATAGATTTGAGGGGTCATCTGCTACAGAGATGTAGTGATGGGGACTAGACCAAGACCTCCACAAACTCTCACTTTAAACCAGGTCAGGGTTCAGGATCCTCCGGCCCACAACCCAGTCTGATGTGGTTTTACGTTCAACAAGAACGCTCTCTGTCTCTCTCCCACTTCTTTTAAAGATTTTAGTAATAATTTTACCCGACCAGAGGTCGAATCATGCATCCTACGAAACATGACCTGCCATGCCGCGCTGCTTCTTAACACCTGCTCGCTTAATCCGGAAGCCAGCCGCACCAAAATGTCGGAGGAAACACCATTCAACTAACGACTGAGGTCAGCTTGCAGGCGCCAGTCCCACCACAAGGAGTCGCTAGAGCGCGATGAGACAAGGAAAGCCCCCGGGCCAAACCCTGCCCTAACCCAGACGACGCTGGGTCAATTGTGCACCGCCCTATGGGACTCCCGCTCATGGCTGGCTGTGACACAGCCTGGGATAAAACCCCAGGCAGTAGTGACTCCTCAACACTGCAGTGCAGTGCCTTTTACCGCTGTGCCAATTGGGAGGCCCCTTTATCCCTCTTCTATACAGGAAATGAACCCTTTGTCATGTACAGCTCATAACCACAGATGTCCTCCAAGCCAAAGTGTTAAAATTAGTTCAGGAAGCTGCATTACCAGAATGCTACAAGTTTCAGCTAAACTCATTCCATGACGTCATGTTAAATACTGAGCTTTGTGTTATACTGTTGGCTCCAACACAGCAACTACTTCACACTCAAACTCACACTCAAACTCACTTTTTTTGGTTGCTTTGGTACAATTTTCATACATATGTGGTAATATTTCACAACTCTTAGTACAAAACTCAATAAAGATCATGAAAAAGTAAAAAAATAAAAAGCTTTAAGCACATTTTCAATTGACTAAGTACAACACACAATATCACATAGTAACTTACCAGTGTTTCATCTAAAAACACCTTTCATATAAAGTAATTGCCTTTCACAATGCAATGCTCACAATACATTTCATATGATTCTCTTCTCATTTCTTTAAAAAAATTTGACCATCACCTAATTCAACGGCACTTAATGGTTAATGACTTAACAGTTTGGTAGACCTATAGATTTTAAACTGGTTTGTCTACTATATATGTATTTAGAGAACTACAGAAATACAATGTGTGTTTGTATAGTATAAACATCTAAATGACATGTATGATACATGATAACCATACATAATGAATATTCATTATTACTAATTGATTTCACATAGCGTCAACCACTATTGGTCACCATATAAAAGGGGGTGTGTGAACACTTGCAAGTTCTTTAACAAGGAGCAGGATAGACAGCAAGGGAGAGGAAGAAATCAAAGAGCTGGTGGACAAGGGGCCATCAGAGAGGTGGGCATTAGACCCATCAAAGAGGTAAAAGAGGTGGGCATGGGCCCCATCAAATTGGTCAAAGAAGTTGGCATTAGACCCATCAAAGAGGTCAAAGACGTCAAAGAGGTGGACATCAGATAGAGAGGGAGGCAGAGGGCAGGGAACTGTTGTGTCTAATGATGTCTGGGAAATCGTTGTTGACCCTGTGGTAAACAGAGGCCTTACCATGGCAGAGGCTGCCTGATTAGTTCACCCAAATCTGAAAAGATCAACTGTCAGTTCAATCATGACAACATTTCACCAAGAAAACCGGTAAGTCTGTAGGATATGCACTATGCTTTAACAGTACATTTACATTATATGATATATTGTAATGCATATAAATTCACAAAACATGTTACAATATTCTTACAGTGTGATCTATTGACAGTATACTCTGTTCTACCATCAGAATTGACAGAAGACCCCATGGTGGTGCCGTGGCTGTGTGCTGACCGACCAGCAGTGTTGGAAATGGTGAGGGCCAGGAATGACATATGGCTGTCTGAAATAAAGCAGGCCATGGAGGAGAACGGTGACATCTTTGCCAATGTGGCATCCATCAGCCTACCAACAATCGGCCACCTTATGAAGAGGCAGCAGGTATCTATGAAACACATTGACCTGGTGCCTTTAGAGAGAAACAACGACAGGGTGAAAGAACTGTGGGCCAAGTATGTTCAGGTACAGCACTATATACTGTATTACTGTTACTATGTGCTGCACAGCTACTTCACAGTATCATATTGGAACTATACTGTAAAAATAACTAACCCAAATATATTTTTAGAGGTTGATGGCGATGATTCTGTTAACCATCACAATTATATCTTTGTTCATGAAGTGACCTTCAACCTGCTCAAAACTCAGCGCCGTGGGCGGAGTCTCATCGGCCAACCGGTGACCGTCCAAGTTCCTGGACAACGTGGGGGAAACATCTCCATGTGTGCAGCTTCCTCTGAAGATGGTGGTGTAGGACGTAGGCCATTACTTGGATCCTATAAAGCTGCACACCTCATTGTGTTTCTCAATGAAATTGAGCAGGCCTGTCAAGGTGAAGGGGTCACCTATGTCATTGTGTGGGACAATGTCAGGTTCCACCATGCAGATGTGGTTCAGTCATGGTTTCGGGCCCATTCCCGATTCATGACCCTATACCTGCTCCCATACTCTCCTTTCCTCAACCCTATTGAGGTTTTTCTTTCAGCATGGAGGTGGAAGGTGTACGATCACCATCCCCATGAGTGTGCCACCCTCCTTCTGGCCATGGATGAGGCATGCCACGACATCAATTCAGACCAATGTCTTCCTTAGATGTCTTCATTGATCACACCTTTGATTACACATTGGATAGATATTATGGAAATTATAGATTTTCTGTCAATTTTGTAGCGTAATGTAAGTGTATTGCCTAATGTGAAAACAGTGTAATCTACTGTAATTTACAGTACTGTAGCATATTATTTTCAGCACTTCTAAGGGCGATTTGAAACGACTATATTAATTTTGTTGAGTTTTGGTGATTAAACAATGTTCTCATTACACGTTTACAATCCAAATGAATGCACAATGACAGGTTTTGAAAGAAAGACTGGCTGCATTACAAGTGTGACCAGTTTGAAGTTGTGAAAATGTACCACATACTTGTGAAAAAAGTGCCAAAGCGATTTTAAAAAACTGAAACAAAGCATTTATATATTCCATTGAAGCTGGAGAAGGTAAAGTACTCCAAGGGTCTGATTCAACAAGGAGAGGATTTGCTACAGTAAACCAGATTACCAAATTACAACTACTGTCAAAACACTTTGGTGATTGTAACACCAGGATTCCTGAATGAAACGATTTACAAAAAAAACTAATGTGTGTGTGTGTGTGTGTGTGTGTGTGTGTGTGTGAGTGTGTGTTTTATCCACAATGTGTTTCTATGAGATAATAGCAGTAAGGCCAAATTCAATGTTTTATCAAATAATTTAGTTATTCTATTTTTATATTGTAGTGTATTGACAATATGATGGTGTTAAATGTTTTTAAATGGAACTGAAAGAATGTTGATTTTTGGTATCAAGAGGGAAGGTTTTAGCGTGACGCCACATATGACAGACAGGAAGTGGGTTGTAAGATACGGGGATTGGACAGTAGAGGGAGCCATTCAACTCTTGGAAGGCTATATAAAGGGGGGAAGAACGGCGGAGAGGCAGAACACAGTAAGATTTATTTGGGACTGTTTCTCCGGATCTCCGCGGGTCTGTTAACTTATGCTGTAACCTCGTGGTATTAATAAAAGTCTCTAAAACACGATACAGCCTAAGGGGATTCTTTGATCGACAGCAATACCCACCAGCATTCGACGCGATACCACAAATGGAGGTCCTACCGAGATTCTGATTGCATTGTTCTGCTTCCTGCCTGAGACGCGAGGTGACTACTGCCCAAGCCGGCTCTAAAGGTGAGATTACTCACAAAATTTGGGCATTAGTGATTTCGTTGATTGGGGAGAGGGCATTGAAGGTGTACAGATTAAAAATACTTGGATCGTTGTTGATGTGGGGTGTTGCGGTCGATTACGGGTCTTTAAAAATATTCTAAAATATATTCCATTGGTAAACGGCAGGTAATTGGAAATTTAGAGCATTAAACGGTAGGATTTAAGTATTGAAAGTGTATATTCCATTGGTAACGGGTGACAATTGGAAATTCTGCATTGATCTTTAGGGCACTGGACCGCTTTAAGACCCCGAGGGGGCCATTTTAGATAATGGGCTGGCAAACCCGTGTGTACGATAGAATGTATATT